ATTGAAAAGATGTGCTTTTGAGTCAGTGTGCTTTGATTGAACTTTAAGGGGAAGAATTGATCATGGTCACCATGCAACCGAGGCGAAAAAGGCTCTCCATGAAGCTGTAGAGTTTGATCGTGCCATAGGTCGAGCTGGCGAACTCACCAGTGAATTGGACACACTGACTGTAGTCACTGCTGACCACTCCCATGTCTTTTCTTTTGGGGGATATTCTGAAAGAGGAAACCCTGTTTTTGGTAAGATTCAAAACGAGAAAAATATTTTGAAGATAGCATATTTAAGTTAAACTCAATTTTCATTGTCTAAATGTTGACAATAATGCAAACCACCCGCTTGATTTCTTATCCGCAGGAGTTTCTAGTAGTTTGGCAGACGATGGCAAGCACTTTACTACTGCTGTTTATGGTAATGGCCCAGGATATCAGATTGCCAATGGAACACGCCCTGATGTGAACGATTCAGTTGCATGTAAGTACATGGTGATAAGCTTTGTGGAGGAACAAAAATAAGAAAAGCCAATAGCTCTACCTAGTGGTGTATCCTGATAAATTCTGAAAATACAATATAGAGTAGGATTATGTATTATTGCCTTGGCTTAATAAAACGTGATTTTATTTTGCCTAAAGAGCTGAAATCACTATTTTTTTTTATATTCTTACTAAAAGGAGAATTTATTCACTTATCCAATCAAAGGGGAAAGTCTGAAGTTCACCTATTTCCAGTAAACTTTGATTTTCTTCTATTTCTCCAGTTGTTGTGTCAGTTCAATTATTAAGCTTAGCTCCTCCTACAAATAATAGTCATGAACTCAAACATGTCAGTTATCGTAAAGAAATATCATAAAACAGAGATCTTCATAGTTTATGACTAGGGTTGGGTATTTTTGCCAAATTTGTGATTCGATTCGCTTTTGATTCATACAATTCTAAATCGATTAATTACGATTCTATCCGTTTTTACAATAATGAAAGTGGTTCAACTGTGTTTCAAAATACTCATGTATTTTATGTTTTCCTGTCATATTAAACAAAAAGTGCAAACTTGTAAATCGGACAGTTGAAACTTAAGGTGTGAACAAAACTGTCTCAAAAGTGCAGATTTGTTTGTGAAAAGTGAAAAAAGTGAAGCCTCACTCGAGTGAGCAGACGTGACACAGCGGGGACACAGCAGACATGCATGAGCTGCATTATCTCCAAAGCACAAACCATATTTGCAGAGTTGTCTGTAACAACCACAGGGTGTTTGTTAGTCAGCCCCCATTTGTTAATGTCTTCAGTCAACCTATTGGCTATATTTGCAGTTGTCTGGTTTGAAGTAATCTTGAGTGCATCTTTGCTGCTTATTTGAATATGAACATCACACATATCACTATAAAACTAATCAATCTCATTCCCTAGACATCGATTTTGCAAAAATTTTAAAGAATCGATTCAAAATTTATTAAATCTATTTTTTACCCAGCCCAATTATGACCTTTTTTCCTTTTATGATCTTTTTCCTGATAAATATTTCATTTCTATGTAAGTTGTTTGATGATTTTAGGGAGACAATTTAACAGGTTTGAAAAACTTAAGTGCCGGAAAATTGTGAGAAACTACTTTTCCTTTTTCTCTCCCTGTTCCCCCTCAGCAACGACTGGTTACAGACAGCAGACTGCCGTTCCTCTTGATTCAGAGACCCATGCTATAGAAGATGTGGCCATATTTGCAAAAGGACCAATGTCTCACCTTTTCCATGGAGTTCAGGAACAGAGTTATATCCCACATGTTATGGCGTATGCTGCCTGCATAGAGCCCTATGAAGACTGTACCATTCCAAGCAACAGTGGAGGAATTCACCCCAGCATGCTTCTCCTTCTGATCGGCCTGCTGCTTACCGTCTGCTCTGCCTGAGATATTAAGATGTTGGAATTACTCCACACTCCATAAAGTATTATTGATACAATCCTGTAAAGAACGTAAATACTTTTCTAATGTTCATCTTTGTTCTAACAAATGGCTTTTCGAGCCATTCAGATTAAATTTTTTTTTTTTCTGTATTGTGTCAGGAAAAGTAATTAAATGACTGCTGAACAGACTGGCTGCAAATGTTGAAATATTGTAAAGTATTATAATAGAAAATGTATTCTCAATTATGTTTCATATAAATAATTTTCAATAAATAACGTTGTTTTTCCTTATCGTTTAGAACATGTCTTATCTCCATTAATAAATATAAGTTTAAAATACACTCAAATAAATAAAAAAGGTTAAAATCAAGTGTTACAGTAGGTTTACTATTTTATTACTAAATGCTCTTTTTATGCATCATGATATTGTAGAGTTTCAGCACTTGTCTTTAAAACAGTTATATGCTGAAATTAGCCAATTATTAGGCTTCCTTTAAATTTCCTCTATTTTCACTGTTTCAGTCATGGTCATGTTGCCTAGGAATGGACTGGTAACCTTTCCATGATCTTTCTGCCTTTCACCATAGACTACTGGAGAAAGGCTGCAGTTCCCCAGGATCCTCATGGGAAACCATAAAAAAACTGATGGATGGACCATGACCAAAAAATGATGTTAAAAACAACCTTTACTCTCATTCCCGTCTTTTCAAAGTCAATAATAACATCATGTCAACCTGTGGGACCGCTCCACATGGAAATGCATTACATCCTAAAGCATATTGCACATTACAGGCTCTTTAATTTTCTCTAACATCAACCTAAGTCACATTACAGTAGACACAATTTTGTCACCCATAGAGCATTGTATGGTTCGTTTTAGTTTGCCTCTTTTTTTTTTTGTTGCTCTAAATGTTTGTTAATTGATATAAAATCTAAAAATTAAATTTTTTTCCTAAAATGAAGCTTTTTAAAGAGAAGGAAATTAATTACCAAGGTTACTGAGCAGTTAGTCCCCAGTTTTATAAAAACTACATGGTTAGGTCAACCTATTCCATTTTTTTTTTATTCCCACAAAGATCATCATGCTGCCAGTGAAACTGTTTGCCAAATATGTAAATTTACGTTGAGTCGAAATGGCAAAAGGTTCAGCACCCCCCCTCCTTGGACCTCTTGTGCAAAACATTACCTATTGTAACTCATGTGCAATATTCTTCTCTCACATGCCAACTACTCTGTAGTCTGTGTTATTTTTTAATCATTTATATGGTCAGTATATTACTGAAGTGCAAATGCGATAATCCAAGTCAACTACTGTGTAGTCTTTCCTTAGCTCTCTATATTATTTATTTTTATATCTGCATTATATTATGCTCTTTTACACTATATACAATCATTTTATATTGTTTGTTATATTTTATTTATCTTTAATGGCATCTTGCTTTTAACTCTGCCCTTTGTACTCTATATAAGCTACTAGTACAGGACTTTCCCCCGAAGGACTAATCCCAAGTGATAAATAAAGTTTAAGTCTAAAGGTCTAAGTCTAAAATTACAGTAGCTGCAACATCTGTACAGTTACTTGCACCATGCAAAAAGATTGGAGTACAATGGTCAAGATCAAAGATAAGGGGTAACAAGTGCTTCTGAAAAAAATCACTAATTGATAACTATGCATAGAGAAAGAAGAGTACCTGTTAAAATACCTGTTGGAACAGTGACTAATCTGGTAGAAGAAGCCGCTTTCTGAGAGAAAGCGGCTGTGTAAGCTGATCAGAAAGGCCAGCTCTGTGATTGGATGCCCTCTGGACTGGAGGTGGGAAACAAAGGGATCTTAACTAAACTAACATCTCTGTTGGATAATATTCCCAATCCTATGCAGGAAGCTGTTGCTGAACTGAACCTCAATAAGTTGTAACATTCATACTGATTTTGCAGTTTCTATCTTAGTCAGTTAAACAACATTCTGCTGTCATTGTGGCACATCTCTGATTTTGCTGTTATTTTTCAAATATCCATTACTGTAAAAAATGTCCGTAGCTGCATTTTGGTTATTAATTCTCCAGGTGCACAGTTTTTTTATATTGTTAAAACACTTTACAGTACATTATTTAATTTCTTTATTTTTAACTCTTCACTATTCTGTTATTCTTGTACACTTTTCTATTGTCCATATTTGTGTGACAATTTTTCTATACACATTGTAGGACAATAAAAGGATTTTCTGTTTTATTCAAAAATTCTAATCTAATGGCTTGTGTTACTGGAGTAAACCTGTTTCCATTTGAATTGTTCAGACTCTTAAATGTAATCAAAAGAGAGTTTTGATTTTTAAGATCAGTTCAACTTGTGCAGCAGTGTTTTTTTTTCTGAAGTGTGCTTTTAAAAAGATGCATATTATTTGTTGCATTCCTTCAGCTAAAACATGTTCTGTATTGTCCAGTTGTAGCTATTTTGCAAAATGCAATTAAAAATACACCAACATACAGTACCTATAAGGTTTTCGTCAATAGATCCGAACATTGTCACATAAAAATGAGCCTAAAAGTGAGACCTAGATACCAGAATATTTAAAAGCATCTGATTGATATGAAGTTGTCCAATGCAAAAGTGAGGGTAAATCTATTATTCAGAATAAAATCTGTAAGGTTTTGCAGGAACAATGGGATAATCATGACACTGGTAGAGATCTAAACAAAATTCAAAAGAACTTGGGGGGTAATAGTTGTAAGAATGGAAGGTGGAAAGAAGAGGTCATATCTCGATTTAGAATTGGTTATATTGGACTTAATGGTTCTCTTTTCAGAATAGGGAAACAAGAAACAGGGACTTGTGTTCACTGTAATCAGATGAAAACAGTGGAACATGTATTATTAGAATGTCATAAGTATTCAGAGGAATGTCAGCACTTAAAGGCAATACTAAACAGAGAGCGAATAGGAGTTTCTATGATTAATATTTTAGGAAATTCAGAATTAATTAGATTTTTTTAAAACACAATATTATTTATTCACATTTAAAGTATGCATATAAGTGTGTGTATGCATGTGCTTATACACAGATATAAATCTATATGTGAGTGTGTATGGATAGAAATTTGTGCAGATTTGTGCATACCATTGAGGTATGTATTACTTACTTCCCTCTGACATCATTGATGACTACGCTCCAGTCTGATAGGTGGCATTGAATGCACCTTTAGTTGATTGCCATCCTCCAGTAAAAAACAAAAGAAGAAGAAGTTGTCCAATATAATGAGGAGAAAAGGAAGAAATAATAAAGAAGAGGAAACCGTTATATTCAGATTACGTTTTGATCATACAAGGTCAAATAGTAAAATATTTAAAATGGGAAAAACATCCAACAGGAAATTATGATTTTTGTTTTCAGGAGGAGACGGTAAAACATGTTTTGTTAGTCTATTCTAAATTTTCTGTTGAGAGAAGGGAATTAGTTTGTTGATTACAAGGAAATAAATTGCAATTAAATATACAAGATATTTTGGAAAAACTTTCTACTTGTAAATGTTTTTGTCATTTAATAAATTACCTTAAGAAAACGAAATTGATAGAGTATAAGATTCAGTAACTTAATTATTATCATTTTTGTGGGAAAACTTATATAGAGCACCCCGATTCACACTCCATTCCAGTAGATGACGGTAATTCGCATCATTAAGTTTTTTGTCAACCGCCCTAAAAAAAGAAGAAGAAGAAGTTGTCCAATCAGAAGAGAGTATGGGCGGATCTTCCGCGTTTCTTCCTTGGAGGGAAGAATCAAAACATTAAACGCAGCTTCGGCTCTTATAATAATTCCGGTTTCGTTAATCACCACAAAGATTAGTAAATAGCGTATTTTAAACAACAAGTCATAAAATAATTTGTAAAACGACTGCATCCAAAATGCAGCCGACCCTATGTGAGCAATGTGGAGTTTTGCTTCTATAGAATTAGCCCTGTTAGCTTACATCGGATGAAAGCTTTCTAAAGCTTCCCTATTCATTTCGCCATGAGCTAAGCAGACAGAGATTAGGTGATCATCGGTGGTCATGGATCGCGACGAGGAGAAGCTTGCAAGTCAGCTGTGCGCTGCGGTGAGCGATGGGGATCCCAGGTCGGTCATACGCCTCCAGACATCTTTCTTTAACCCTGAGTTTGTGCATGTGGATCAGATTAAATCTAACTACTACCACGTTAAAACAGCGAGAGTCGTTCAGTATAACTGTAGTCTTAAGTATTTATTTAGTATAACATTAGACACTAACAAATAATAGGAGTTTTGCAATTAAAAGATGAATGAACGTTTCAAAGTGAATGCACTATATCTGAAATATTTGTATGTTTTTGTCAGTCCTGGCTGCGGATCTGCAGAGTTGCTATTTGAATTTAACTTTTTTTAAACACATTTTTGAGATAATTCTTATAGATAGAAAGCACACAGAGCATGCTACTTCGGTAAATTTGGGAAGATATTCGACTTTTCGGTCTAACAATCTGTTCCCCCTGTGTCGGGAGCGCGCATCGCAGCCAGAGAGGCGGATCTCGGTAAAAACAGCTCATATTATCATCCCAAGGTTGTAACATTCAGTTTAATCGGCTGCTGTTGTTTACAAAATTTTAAAATATATAAATAAACGAGATCCTTTTACGTTGTTAGAATCGGTCTTTTTCAATTTTTTTCACTTAAGCCTGACAGAAAAACAAGTCAGTCGCCAAACACAGATTTCCATTTTTTCATTGCTGATATAAGATGATGGAAACTGATAGCAGGACACAAAAAGTAAGACTTCCTGCAAAGATGAGAGCCCTAGTTCCAACAGCATGACATGAAAGGGCATCACATGATGCTGTTGGTCCCATTGCAGTTGAAAAGCTTGTGTGAAATTTGACTTTCCAATAATTGTATTTTGTCCATAAAGACAATCTCTCCTTCCATCTTTAAGTCATTGTCCTCCACCTTAAAGCCCTGGCTTTCCAAAATTGACACATCAAGATAACCTTTGCTGTGCTTCACCATTTAGGTGTCCTCCTCTGAATCAAAAAACACACACGGAATAAAAAACCTCTGTTGCCATCTTCATGCTAGTGCATTTTAGAAGGAAAGCAAAGACATATAAGGCTTATTCCATTATGTCTTTATCTGTAGTTTTCGTCACCTATGCTTGTAATACAGCATTCAAAATATGGGCTGAGCAAAGATGAAGCACTGTAAAGGTTGAGATTTCTTTTTTTTTTTTGTCCATACATTGTTATATGCTCAGCCAAGGTAGACAGAAACATCTTTATTGAATGCAATAAACACGCCGTTAATCATAGCCCAGCTATGATCTGTCTCAACAAGTGTGTTGTGATATTATACGCATCGTGATACTTGGGTCACGATACATTGATATATTGCGATATTCTACCCAGTTAATATTAAAATTTAAGGTAGAGATGAAAAAGCAAGTGCTGTGTATGTTCATCAGGAGATATTGATCATTTAGAGGACAAAATGAGTGAAAACATCCTATTTACAGGTGTTTTGCACAATTTCAATGAAAAAAAGTGCAGTTGCAAACACTTCCATTGTAAAATAAAGTGCAACAAGTTTCTTTTAACTGAAACTGGTGTTTAGACATCTCAAAATAGTCATTGCAACATAATGACTACATTGTAACAACCATAAAAGTGAGAACATTAGGGATAAAGTTAGCCTCGTGAGACCATCCTGATCTCGCGAGCTTTCAAGGTTTCACTCGCAGATCAGTCTGGCTACTTTCCGTTGGAAAATTTAGAGCAGTTTACCAAACGAACGTCCAATCAGCGTTGGCTTTGAGGCGGGT